TTTTCTTGACATATGAATCAAAAGCCTTCTGCATGATCATCGTAATACTGAATGGCAAATAAGTGGCAAAAGATTCATTTTGTGCTTATGCAATAGATACAGTCATTTTCTGTAAGTACATCTTTTACTTTTAAATCCTCAATTCGCACTGTGGTTTCAATCTTCTTAGAGAAAAGATATATTTTAACATTTAAAAATGCATGTATCAGACTTCATGAGAATTAGAGCTTTGGGCCAAAAATCAACACACATTGACCATAACCACCAGGTGCTTCTCAGCATTGCTACAAGCCTGGTCAGATGCATGGGTACCACACCTGTAATTCACAGATGGATCCCCTTTGGAGCGACAAACCTAGCATAGGTAAAACTGCAATAACTGAATTGCTCACTGCTACAGCCTGCTTCTTCCTTTCCAGCTGAGATTTCTGCTCCCTGAAGAGCTGTCCTCAGATCAAACAAACGCAAGGTGATATTCCCAAAAGGCACACCATTAGTGCAGTTGTTTCCTGTCACAAGATGAGAATTTCTAACTGAGTGATGGGATGACTTTGTGATAAACTTGGAAGTCTCTTTGGTAAGTCTCTTTGATTCAGTGAACTTCAGCTTGTTTTTCAAAATAAAGCAAAACCAAACCAAACACCCATAAAGCCAACCAGATCGGTCAGGCAGGATTTGCCCTTTAAGAAGCCATGCTGGCTGTCACCAACCACCTCATTGTTTTCATGTGCCTCAGCATGCTTTCCAGGAGAATCTGCTTCAAAATTTTGCCAGGTACAAAGGTGAGACTGACTGGTGTGTAGTTTCCTGGGTCTTCCCTTTTTCCTTTCTTGAAAATGAGGGCTGTATTTCCCTTTTCCTAGTCACTGGGAACTTCACCTGACTGCCATGATTTTTCAAATATATCATCTTCTAGGATCTTGGATCATTTTCAAAGGATCCAAAGACTAGGACTTCATTGGCACTAGCGATCTTGACAATAGCAGATCTGTAAAGTGCAATGGTGCTGAGGAACTGAAATGTGCATCTGGGGGAAAAACACTATTTCAAACCAGACGTCTCCAGCTTCTGAAGACCCAGCAGCCTCCCATAAGCGGATGTGCACGTTCCATTTTATTTTCAGCTGAGTGTTTGAATCCTCAGAGAGTGCTCAACAATGGAAGCAAAGCATCCTAAGTGGCATGGGCAGATTTGTTTCAAAAGCGTATTTCTGATCCAAGTGAAAATATGAATGTACATATATCCAAATAAACATGGCATTCCTTATTTCTTTGATGATTCCCTTTTCTAGTAGTTAAACTGAAGCATATTCACAACATAAAACAGATTTCTTACTTGTAGAAAAATGTATTTTAGAAAATTTTAAAACCTTCTCAAAATGATGTCAAGGATGTTAGAAACTTAAAATCTATTTAATGTGGTTAAAATAGCATTTATTTTAATAATGTCTTTGGGTGTGTGCTGAAGTTATTCAGTGGCTTTACATACCAGTCATCTCATCAATAATCAACTGAAGAACCTAACATACATTTTTTCTAGAAGATTATAAATAAATATGAGAGACTTTTTCATTAAAGAAATCACTTGCAGATATGTTTTGAATACCTTCAGGTTTTCTAATTTAAATTCTATTATTACAGTATCATTAAAATCCCAAGCAGACAGATTTGGTCTATGTGAAATGGGACGTGGGAGAAGCCTTTTGTGACATAATTAAGATTGCTCCTTTCAAGGGCAACATCACAGAAGGTGAACACTAATCCACTAATATGGTAAAGAAGGATGAATGACAGGGAATCAAGGAATGCAAAAGCAAACTACAAAGCATACGTTTTTTTCTGTGAAGTTCTGTCATATTTAACTTTCATTTTCTAAGTAGGCTGTTACAGAGACAAAAATTTGCATAAAAAAGATTAAAGACTGCACAAAATGTCAAAGACTGCTTTGCAGCTATAGTACAAACAAAGAAAACAGTCTTGAAGATCTTTGCAGATGTCAAATGAATTTTAAGGAAATGATCAAAAATATTCTGGTAATAGCATATGATGCCTAAAATACCCACAACACTAAGTGTCAGAGTGCACATGGTATTTCTGAATGCAATATAAAATGTCTCCACTTGCCCATATAAAAGCCAGAGCTCCATGCAAATTCAAAAAGGAAAGGTCACAACACTCTTTGTCTTAGTTCTGAACTTTTTCCAACAACTAGTTTTTATCAGATGGGAAAGCTAAAATCATCATAATATCATAGCTCAGACCAAAAGGTATTACAAAACAAAATGATTTAGTTGGGTTTTTTTGTTTGCTTTGTTTTTTGTTGTTGTTGTTTTTTGGTGTGTTTTTTGGTTGGTTGGTTGTTTTTTGGTGTTTTTGTTGCTGTTGTTGTTTGGGGGTTTTTTTTGTTTTGTTTAACAACAGCTGCTGTAAAGCAATTTAAACCATCCAGCTAACACCCTTTCAATACTGTCTTCCTTGGTTCAAGTTACTAGTTATGAAGCAGTAGGTACACAATACACTGGTTTTAGCTTACACAAAATATAAGCACATATTAGACACTCGGATCGTATTTCATATCTTCTTGAAAGCCTATATACAATATATAAAATATATAAATTACATAATGCATTACCAAAAAGCTATAAAGTTTCCTGTCACGCAATACTCTTCTCAATAGTAGCAGTCAGTATTACCATGGACACCCTTTTCATTACTTTGTATAACCTATCAGAAAGAAAACTGAAATGCTCATTAACCCTAATGGAAATACTTCTGCACATTAAGACTGATGAACACCAGCATTAAATAACTCATATGAAACAAATAAATGGAGCCTGTGTGACTGGATTTTATGGATTAGTTTCAGCACTTCAGGAAACCTGAATAGCCAAAAGTACTTGCACTGCAGCTCAAATCTACTACCAACCGGTCATAAAACTAGCATGATTCTAGAGGAAGTACTAGTATTTCCACCAATTTTAGTTAAGACTAACTCAACAAGCATAGAGAGCAGAAATCCCACTTCATTTTCCCCCTAAAAATAAAAATAATAAAAAAGGCAACAAAACAAAACAAAATTCAAAATCACACACACACACACACACACACACACAAAACCCAACAAAAACCAAACCAACAAAAACCCAAACAAACCAAAACTAAAAACTGTGACAGTACAAAACCCTGTCGTAAAAGTTGTTCTCCATCCCTTTGTAAGGAGATCATGACACAATGTAGTGGTATGGGTTCAAGCCCTGGAAAGACCAACCACACAGTCATACATGTCTGCATGGTTATCACTGAGGTATTCACACGATCTGTTTGTACATTTATATCTCAAAGGCCATGATATCAAGTACAGTCATGGAGAAATGATCACAAAATTGATTTGGGACCATATTTCTTCATAGCATAGGTACTGGAAAAATTCTTTGCCAATAGACAGTTACATACAACTGTGCATAAATTAAAACTTGACTTTATAAAAAAAAATTATAGCAAAACAAGAACAAAATGTCAGGAATACTGAGACTCCTTGTCTTCCAAGGGAATAACAGAGAATGAAGAGATGATGTTTTCCAGATGATGTTTTCCTATTTGACCTTAACAGAGAATAACTAAGTTCTGATATCATTTAGTATGCACTACAGTTTTACATTTGCTAAAACAGGCCTGCTCTCACAGTAACAGGAAACAGAAAAGTCCTTAAAAATTTAAGCGACTATTGTATTAGAGAAGACAAAAATTTGCAAATAGGTACAAAAAGACATTTTTAGTTTGACAGCCCTTTATTTTTAGCTTAAACAGTTAGTACCAAATTACAACTTATTCATGCATCAAAAATAACGTCTGATATTTTCTCATACATTCCACAATGAATTTAAGCAATATTTTACATTCAATAAGGTGCCAAGTTGGTAATCACCAAGACATTAGCCAAAAATGTATATTTACAAAGCCCCATTCTTTAAATTTTAAAATCATATAATTTGGTAAGCATAGGTAAGTGTTAAAAAACCCCACAATTTTGAGAACGGAATATACTTTAATTTTTTAGGATTTTTAAGGAAAATTGACTAGAATATTGGGGTAGGAAACTAACTCTGAAATATAAATTGTTATGCTTCCTGAAATTCTGTATACACAGAAGATGCTTTACACATGCTTGAAACCAGTCTTAAAAAAAATAAAATCAAGAACAAATGGCTTACTCGTAGTTAAAATGCAAAGATTTAAGTGGAAAAAAGTTTGCTTATGAATGAAACATCAATTAAGTAGATATTAACTGCAAAACTAGTGGAGGAAGGCAAGGAATCTCTTAAGGTTTCTAAACAGTGATATGCTTTAATATTTTCATCCCTTTAATTTCCCTTCTGAAAGACTTTCTGCAATAGCTTACTGATTAAACACGGACTTTTTATTTCAAACTTGCAGTGATGCTGGAATGACAGTACCTTTCTCTGTGTCTGTATAACTTATTTCTGACACATAAAATAGAGACATAAGACTTGCTATAACTTCCAAATTTTATGAGAACTTTACCAGTTAAAGAACTCCATTTTATCAAAAAAATTTCTTCATCATAACTTTATGGGCAATGAACTACTACTTTCAATTACTCGGAAATTAAATCCAAATGGAAAACAAAAAACAAAAATAGGAGGATATTTTGTCACATGCTGAATGCCACTCTTTCAAGATAGTAAAGACTTACTACAAGAATTGGGATGGAGCATTATTTTAAAGAAATATGTTGCATGGAGAAGAGAAGGTTGAAAAGCTCAGTCACAAAATGAGCAAGAACTGAAATACCTTCTGAGAAGTTTTAGAGTGAGGTGTCCCTGCCCATGGCAGGGGGGTTGGAACTTGATGATCTTAAGGTCCTTTCCAACCCTAACTATTCTATGATTCTAAGTTGCACAGAAACATTATTTAAATAACAATACAAACATCCTCTCCAAATCCTTTTCAATTAAACAGTTTTTGGAATGTATGCATTACCTTAACAACAGGATTCAGCAGAACAACACCTGATTTCTTTGTAATAACTTGCTTTGTTGTGTAATGATGTTCTATGAGCTGAGGAATAGTTGGAAATCCAGTTCCTTCAAAACGATACTGATTCTGTATGAAGGTAAAAGGAAATAATTGTTTCTCTACAAGCAATGTTTTGAACAAGAAACTGCAAAAGTGCATGACAAAGCTTCCCTCAGTAGTAACAAAATAAAAAAATAATTGCTTTTACAAAACTAGATTTTTTTATCTACTTAATAGCATTTCAACTGAATTAAATGGAATGATAGTTAAGATGATAAATTAGTAAATGCAAAATTACTGCACCACTCATTTAAGGCAATGTGATAAAACAGCTACTTATTTAAACTCGTAATTTAAATACTTAGGACAGTTAAAGCCCTGACAGAGTGAAAAAAAAAATATTCTAAACTACAAAAAAACCCACCAACTTCCTAATTACTTGAAGTTCTAGGAATAACAGATAACAAACTAAAAACTAAACATCTGGCAATAAAATAAACAGGAGATGAGTAACACTATCTAACTTTGATCTTACTGCATTTACAATGTTTGATAAGATTAATAAATCCCTAGCACAGAGCACAAGATGCATGATTAGTCTTTAATAAGCAGTATAGACCAGAAGGGGCTACAGCAGCAAAAAAAAAAAAAAAAGGGCAGGTTATGCACAGAATTCACAGAGAAGTTGGGCAAGACAGAATTCCCTCCCTCACTTCATAGATTTATTTATTTTTTTTATATATAATTAAACACAATGGAAACAGTTAAATCCTTACTAGTTTCTTAGAAGCATGTAACATTATCTTAGCAAAGACTGCTATGACATAACTTTTTCAGGTTTTAAGGAGAAAAATAGAAATTGTCATTGCTTATCTTAGCCCACACTCTTGAAGGGGAAAAAAATAGCAAAGAAGTATGTATTTCATTCTCCTGAATGTCTGACTAAGATCACTAACATCTGGATATAGCAGAGACTCAAGAAACAACAGCTGACTTGAATGACAACAGTGAATTTTAGTGCTTAAAGCTGAACGCTAAAGTCATTTATCACACACATAGTTATATTAACATTAAATTTCAAAATAATAAAGAGAGAACACTTTTGGACACCAAGTTTGGTCTCCATATGGGGACTTGTCAGTGATCCAAGAGGGTGATTTGACTGGTCGCAGAGACCTGATTCCACTCAGCATACCAATGCTAACAAAGAAATCCCTTGCACTAAGCTCTCCTCAAACTTCCCTACCAAAATGCTCATGAGTACAATCCCTCTTGTTATGTGACTGTAACAATCCCACCATATAAACACTTTTTAGAGCCTAATAAGCTTTACTTTTTCTACAATTAATGCTCTTTTTTTTTCTTTTTGCCACAATAAATGCACCAAATTCATCACATGGGAGTACATAAGGAGTCCTGAATTTCCTTAAGAAAAAGGTTTTAACTTCTGTAATTGTCAAGGAAATCTGACACAAATGCATCCCAAGAGCAGACGAACATAATGTCCTATAACTAAACTTAAAAGCAGAAAAACGGAGTGACCTGATGATGTTTAGACCATCCAAGCTATGCAATATTAAACAGCATTGGTCTTACATTTCAAATGTCATTCCTAAGAGAAAGCAGTGAAATTATGGAAATAAAGACAGCTTTTTTTTTTGGTGGAAAATTCTAATATAAAAATGAGTCACCTTAGAGGCCAGCCTCAAAGTAATACTTATTAAACAAAATATTTTAACTGACAAGGAAGCCCAATGTACATTTCTATGAAGATCTACTTGTCATGTATTTTACGCAAAACTGTTCCGGCCACACCAAGTATATAATGTGCATTTATTTCTGTGGTGTCTGGATCAAAGAGATCCAAGCACCTTGTAAGACTGTGTGTCTAGGTACAGGTAATTTAATTGCTCCTATTTTTTCATTCCGCATCCTGCCATGTCAAAATGCTTTCAGGATATAAAATCTAAATAAAATCAACCCTGACTTTGTGTAAAGTTTCACTTCTATAAGGAAAACTCTAGGTGAAATTAATTAAAACTCCAGCTGAACCAGGTTAGGGTTGGGGTTAGGGCTCATAATGATTGATATATAATTGGCTTCTGTAAGCAGAGCCTCCCAACTTCTGCAAATTTTTAAAAATATCACTGCCTCTCATTAAAAAAATAAAATAAAATCGAACAGGTACACAATATTGACTTCATACAGGCATGCTGCATCAGCTGGGGATTTTGACAAGTAAATCCCCCTTTGTAAATCTCATTATATGATTAAATTTGTGTTTTTTTTCCTGTATGTGGGAGACTTTATTGTAAGAGACTGAAATATGTTTTGGCAGCATTACTGAATCAAAATTGAGAATGATTTGCTGATATGTCATACTTCAAGAACTTCTAGTAACGTTATAAGAACTGTCATATTTTGAATGTTTGAAATTCTGTAAAGCAAACAATACATTAAAAAACACAAGTAATGCATTAAGAAGAGTAAGAAGAAATACACTGCATAAAGGCATATAAAAATTAAAATACTGTTTAAAACAGACAATTTTTCTTAAGTTAGAGCAACAAGGAAATAAATTCTAATCCTTAGAAGCATATGAGCTGTGCAACTTCCACAAGTTTTTGTTATACTGAACAATAGCCATAGGGCTAAAAAGAACAGAAGCATCTCTAATGTAACAGTTCCAATTCCCAGCCACACAGAAATCAACACAGATCTTTCCCCTCTGTGCATGTTTGCAATTTTCAATTGAATCTTTACAGTCTGAATTAAAAGTAGCGTAATAAGTACCAATTAAGAAAATGGGTTTTAAAATAAACGCACCTGCATAAATTAGTACTAACAAATTCTGGATTTCAAAACATTTACAGAAATATCTTGACTTTTCAAAGTAACATAAAAGATGTTAGATAACCTCATACTTCATAATTTTAATTTGTTTCCCAAAATTATCTTTCCTCTCCCCTGATTTCAGCACTGATGAAAATGTTTCCAAGGGCTTTCATATTTTCATATAAAGGCTAAAGCCATTTGCCATAGTAAATTATGCAAAGGTTACAATGGTTAGCTGAAACTATAAATTTCCTAACATTTAAAATATCCAGTACTATGTCAGAGACGTACATCAGCATATTGTATGATAAAGTGTCTCCGTTGTCCATCTGAAAACACAGAAAGGACATATTCACCAGGTTTCCCGTGGCTCTCTCGCACCAAGAAGTCTCCTTGCTGTTTTAACAGCTCCTGGGCTTCTATTCTTGGAATTGCACCATGATACCAGTCTTGCTCTGCCAGCGGTTTCTCAGTGGTTGAAATTACATCAAAGAACTTTGGAAAAATATTGAAGAAAAATATTACTCTGACAGCTTATTTTTAGTTTACTTTTACATGAAAAGCATGATAAACAAAAATTTCTACTTCTGCATCTAAATTATGTATTTGTCAACAAACAAAATCAAGGCTCTTACATTTACAAAAATGACATAGTGATCACCTTATTTTAATCACCTAAAAAAATAACATATAAAAAGCAAAAGATTATGGAAACCTCAATAAAACTATTTAATATTTTTCATTTGCTTCCATTTTTCCAGAGTCATTCTAACCAACTCTTTCTCAAACACCTCAAGTATTATTAATAATAATTCAAAATGAACCATTTCTTTTTAAAGACAGAAACTTCTCAAATATAAAAACATAAGAAATTGATTTATACAAAGCATTTGAATTGAATTTGAATAAATTTCACCAATTTATTTACCAACTGCATCCCAAATTAGTTAATAGCTCTACTAGATATTTTTCCTAGCATTTACGCTGTAACACAGAATATGCATCTGAGTGTACTGGCTATAAATGGGAGTTAATGAGTTCTAACCACCAATTTAACATATTAATTCTAACATGCTTACATTGTTTAGGAAACTGAGGAACACTTAGTATTTCGGTCAGTGAACACTTCAGATTTATTTGTTATGGCTAGACAGAAAAGCCCTTACTTAAGCTCTACGTCAGTCAAAATCGTTAGTGCCAGCACTCATAGAAATTCACACCACCAGACTAGTAAAACTGAACAAAATAACAGTGCATTCTGTATCAGGAGTTCAACAGGCATGCCAATGTGTCCCAGGCAAGCCTGCTGAGCTGCATTTTAGATAACAGTAGGAAGACCCACACCTCAATTATGCAGAAACAGATACAAAGAAAGCATACAGTTCTGAATTAACCTCTCCTACTGCTTGGCCCTGATGAAAAACATCCCTTCTGAGTGGAGGGAAATGCCCTCATATACTTCATCATGCTAGTACTGTCCTCTTTACTTATTCTGACCCCCAATTCTCTCTCCCTATTTAACAAACCATTGAAATACCATTCTTTTTTCCAACAATAAAACGAAGCAGCCCCCAGCTGCTACCCTTATTCGAGAAAAAAACTGAACAAACAGCAGTGCATTATTTCTAACTCCAAAAAATGACACATTATTCCTGTACTTATGCTGTCAATGAAAAGAAATTAATAATGGGAATGACATTTTATTAAACTAATGGTGCAGTATTTCCACATATATTCTGAGCTCAGACTTTGTATACTTCATTATTTTTTATGTTTAAGCAAGCAAAACATTCTGTGAGGACATTTTTGGCCCCAGTGTAAAAGAGGGGCACAGATATATATATATAAGAAAAAAAACAACAGTTTAGGTTGATAAGTTATAAAAACATAGAATCATAGAAACTTAGAATAGTTAGGGTTGGAAAGGACCTAAAGATCACCAAGTTCCAACCCCTCTGCCACAGGCAGGAACACCTCACACTAAACCATGTCACTCAAGGCTCTGTCCAACGCGGCCCTGAACACCGCAAGGGACGAAGTATTCACAGCTTCCTTGGGCTATCTGTTTCATTGCTTCACTACCCTCACAGTAAAGAACTAATTCCTTATACCTACCCTGAATTTCCTCTGTTTAAGTTTGAACCCATTAACCCTTGTCCTATCGCTACACTCGCCGATGATGAGTCCCTCCCCAGCATCCTTATAGGCCCCCTTCAGATACTGGAAGGCTGCTATGAGGTCTCCACACAGCCTTCTCTTCTCCAGGTTGAACAGCCCCAACTTTCTCAGCCGATCATATGGGAGGTGCTCCAGTCCCCTGATCATCCTCATGGCCCTCCTCTGGTCTTCCTCCAACAGTTCCATGTCCTTCTTATGTTGAGGACACCAGAACTGCACACAATACTCCAAGTGAGGTCTCACGAGAGCAGAATAAAGGGGCAGGATCACCGCCTTCGACCTGCTGGTCATGCTCCTTTTGATGCAGCCCAGGATACGGCTGGCTTTCTGGGCTGTGAGCGCACACTGAAGCCGGCTCATGTTGAGTTTCTCATCAACCAAAACCCCAAATCCTTCTCTGCAGGTCTGCTCTGAATCTCTTCTCTGCCCAACCTGTAGCTGTGCCTGGGATTGCTCTAACCCAGGTGTTGAGATAACTCTCTATGGAATATCCTACCTTTTGCCTCCATATACCTGGCTCATTCATACATGCTAATATACCATATGAAACCAACATTAATTGCACCTATTAGCCTATAAATAACAGAAAAGTTATAAACAATAATACATGTCTGCACTAAGCTCAAATGCAGCAGTGGCAAAAAAACATAGGCAGTGGGGCAGATACTGGTATTCATGATGCTATTCATTCCGACTCTTCATACAGTTCCTTCATAGCACTGCACTACAGGTACGTGAAAGTTGCCCCTTTTCTTGTGTTTTCACTCCTGATTTCATTAAACTTGTGTCTCTTGCTATTACAGAAATACTAGCAAGAATTTTGCCCACAAAAAGCACATGAATTACTAGCCTTGCTTTTCAAACTACATTTTTTCCTTATATTACCCTTTACCTTCACATTCTGACAGTACAAAAATAATTTAAGTAACAGGTGAAATCCTGGCTGCTTTTGGAAGTGCGGTTTCTCTATGACTATGAAAAAACCCTGTTTTCTCTAACTACACATAAAACCCAGCTTCTCCCACCAATTAAATATGGGATGGTGTTTTAGAATAGCACTGTTTTTAAACCAAGATATGGCTCTACTTCTGAAAGTTTCAATACACATAATATGAAAACAGCTAGTCCACATCACATTTTTTCTTACTCTGCTTCAAGATCTTTTTTGGTCTTGATCTATTAAAAAAATAAATAAATTCTTTTACATATGTTAAAATTATTTTATATGACACCTTCAATAATCACTTTGTATACTTTGTTGATTGATAGTAAGTTTTAAGTACCAGCTTACACATTTAGCAATAAGCACAGTGACGTAACTGTCAGCATGAAAAAGCCTAGCAGCTGACCACATTAGGAGCTAAGTACTAATCTGCAAAGTAAGTTTTAGCTGTATATGCATGGTTAGCTTTTCTAACACACAACAAATTGCTGAATCAAAACATGGCAAAACTGAAAATTGGTTAGTTTATATATCTGACTCTGAAAAGTATTTAAGTGACAACTAATCAAGAGCACAGTTGTCATTCAGATTTTACTTTCTGCCTCAAATGACCCAATTCAGATCTTACTTCTCCCAAACATATTCCAAGGTTTCAGCAGTCCTACCCACCATGTATATACACCCAGGTTTTCACCAACTTTCATGGAATTAACAGTGACACAGATTGGAATGAATATCAAAATGAGTCACATAAGTTCTTTAAAATGACAAAGCCAATGAAGATTTTGCCATCAACTTCCCTGACTTAATCTGAAGTGTTTTATCTTGACTCTTCTTGCAATTTTTTCTCTTCCAATTTTTCTCTGAAGCAGTTTTGGGTAGTATTTTTAAATACAAAAAAAAAAAAAATCTAAACAAATTGTACAATCCATACAAATAGACAAAGTTGTAGGCCTACGCAAAGAACAGAGATCACAGCAATATACATTTTAATATGTTTTTAATATGAAATGTTGCATGTTTACATCAACTAGAAGTTTTATAAAGCAAAGATTAGGATACTGTGGAGATTTTATGTATCTCCAAGGACATTTCAATATTTTAGAAACAGTTGCATATGTCATGCAACTTTCACACTTTTTGTAGGAAGAGTCTTCCTGTACTGATTTTATTTCATTATCATATTCGTTATTCCATTCCTTTATCACTATATACAATTTTCCTGTGCATGCAAATACACATGTACATGTTTGTATGCATATATGCAACTGTAACTGATTCCACACATTCTGAAGTGTTTAGCTTAAATAAAGTTTACTGGGTCCTTTAATGGGTCCCTGGATTCAGTGCTGCAGCATAAAACAGAAAATTCATTCATTCAAACGTTTTCTCAAAAATGCCCTTTTTTTTTTTTTTTTTTTTGGTAGGTGGAAGGGTTAAGATGTTTCACTTCAGAAAAAAAAATTTAAAAAATCTGTCACCTCTCTAAGGAGGTGCTCTGGTATTTTAATCAACCTTGCAAGCTTCTTGAAAACAGAGTCAATACAAAAGCAAATGAAACAAGAAAGTTTCTCCATCCATTAGGGAACCTGAACAACAGCCAACTAGAAGTAAGAGATACTCAACAAGCACCTTTAGTGGGGATTGAAGAAAGATGCATAATGCCTAATTACTTAAATAGTAAAAGCTATTGAGAAAGTAGAAGTACTAGTAGTAATAGCATACTGATATACTCATGCCTTTATAATAAATATGGGGAATATAATTATTGCAACAATTTAACACATGCATGACCTGCTACAGGCTGTGACAACACGCTGCATTTCCAGTAATTCAGACTCCCTGGGAAGGGTACTCCTGAAAGTATATCACCAGTCTTAGAGCTGTAAAAAATATAATTCTCTTTTTTTCTTAAATGCAGTAAAGTTGTTCTCACATACTAATATGCCATAATATTATAACGTCTGCTGATCAATCAGAAACCTGCCTTTATAACATTATAATGTAATATTTGTCCATATAGGTGGAAATTCATGATGTTTCAGGGGAAAAAAAAAAATCCCACTTAAACTGTAAAAATAACACAATGTACTACAACAAGCACATTATTGATGCTACTTACCGAGGATGAGCCCAGCATGGATTTTGGAGACCTTATAATTCCAGCTATGGAATGACGTATAGTATCAAATCTTGAGACTTTGTCTTTCTTGTCCTAGGAGAAAAAGAAGTATCTCCAGTGAAACCCAGCAAATCGGTATGATTGGGATTAGTGGGATAAAGCTAACTTATTTACAAATTCTATAATTTCTTAAATATTTTGTGTAATTATTTTAAGTATCACTATTGCTAACTATAAAGAGAACTGAAATTCTTTTGTATACTAAAAGTACAGGACATAATTCTCAGTTCGCTCTCAACTGAAGTATATTATTTTAAAAGGACACTGATTTTAAAAAAGTCCGCATAGTAAAATAAAAATACACATGTACATTATCCTTGCTTAATATATGCTTGGGGGTTTTTCCTTTCATTAACATGTTCTTCTCTAACGACAGACTACTTGTAAATACTAGTACCAAACAGTGCAAGTTACAGGATCCATCTGTTTTCTGGCATTACTGTAAATCACAGGTGCAGGCACCATCTGGATTTTAAACTCTGTAAGTAGAGGGATCTAACTGGAACACTGAAACAGCCCTTAAGCACCTCTAGGTCAGCACAGGTCAACGTAAATTCCAAGGTACTCATAACTTGACTTAGCCCAAAGATTGCATATAACTTAACCTCTGATTTACCACCAACTCTCCAAGTTAGTATCAAAGAATCTTTCAAAAAATACAAAAAAGTATTTTTTTTAACACTGACAAACTGAGTTTATTGCTTGCAAATCACAATCAGAAACAGGAAAGATATTTTAATGAGATTCTGCAAAGTAATTAAACCTGAAGCAGAGAGATCACACATGGACAAACCCATTCTAAGTAGCTATAGGTTATCCATAAGCAACTGATAATGGAGACAGACTACAACTGCTTGCGAGTGTTAAAAACAAAACCTGCTTTCATGTTTTGGACACCCTGGACTGAAGAAATTGAAAAACTGATACTATAATAAACATAGCTTCAGTTTATTCCAGGACTTCAGAATGAGCAACAAAAACTGTTTATTCTGTACACAGAATATACCAGTGCTTGAAAATGACTCAAATACAATCTACTTAACAGGATACAGGTTAAACATTGTCTTAGTAATAGAAATTTATTTATTTGGCAGCAGAATTCTGCAATGTGCTTTAATATGTATGCTGTGCAAAAGAGTACAAAACCCAGTCAAACAGTAAAAACAGTAACAGGGATTTTATTATTCCCTGAAATATTCTTTAACAATGTGTCCATTTACGCATCAATAACCTTTATATTCCTTTTATCAGACTCAAGTAATATTGTATGCCAATTAATTTTCTCATAATAAAAATCTCTGTACTGGGACCTGATTTTTATTTTCACAATATTGATGAATTAAACAAAAAAAAAAACAAAAACTTATTAATGACTGAGGGTGACAGCGACTAATTTTGTTTGCATACTGGGTGTCAAATGATCCACTCATTTCACACATCTCTTCAGAAGTGAGCCATGATATTTAACTGCACTCAAATGTATTCTTACAGATCAGGAAAAAATAAGTTACCAAAAGATGCATGAATTCCATTTACACTTCCCCTAAACAAAGTCAGAAGTTTTCTATTTTACGCTAACAGTACGTTTATCTAATGACAACACCAAACTACAAGTGTGGCTCTACATTCACCAAATTCTCCTTACTGAAAAATGTTTTTTATACAACAGGGAGGTTTATTGACTCCTAAGTACTAGAAAGCCTCATGGACTCGAACACCAGAGGACTTTGACAAGCAGCACCAAATGCTACTCAGAGGCTAACAGTCACATTAAACAGAATGAGCATTAAAATGCAGATTAAAGGGCTTTGTTCAAAACGTGGTGCGTGTCCTGTTCAAACTACAGAACATTTATGAACACTGCTCGGTATTTTCACAGCACTTTCTCTCTGCCGTACTGAAACTACTCTGTATCTTACAGCAATGAAGACTTGTAATTTGTCGGCACAGCAGGCATTATCAAACATGTGACACACACAACCGTAGCTTGTACTGAGTTTATTTATTCGATTTAAGAATTTTTAGGGCAACCTGGGTAAAACTGAAGAGCAGCAACAACGGTCTTTTAAAGAATTTTTCTCTTTTTTTGCCATTCCTCAGCTGCAGACCACCTTAGAAGGATCCATTTAATCTTGCAGGAAACCACTTTTCACCGAGAACAGGATATTCACCAGTGTGAAAAGGGTTTTTTTATGCATATTACGTATTTTGTTTTCTAAACTTCTATAAGAATACAACCCAGAAAAGCCCATCTACTTTTTTATATTATACATATTATATAAATTATATTTTATATTATAGATATTTATGTGTGTGTATGATCTTACTAGTTACATCAGAGCATTATTTTAAGTCTACTTTCCAAAATAAAAGGAAATGCTCATCAGAGCTAGCCTTCAGTGATCTCCATCCTAGTTACATCAAATTTTGAATCTCTCAGTCAAGGCCCTCACAATTTAGCAAAGGGTTTAGTCGATGAAAGGATTTTCTCAGGGTATCAGGTTATTTAAAACTTCTGAAGGAAGCTAACAGAGAGCAAAGACTCTTCATGTCCTCAGGAAGAAAAGTTCATTGTAACTGCACACAATACTCATTCCAACAAACGTCAGATATCAGACTAACCAGGACAACCTTGCTGGCTATGTAGTCACTACACACACTTCAGACAAACTCATAAGACATGTTACTATCTTGACTAACAAACCCAAGGAGGACACGGGAAAGTAACTGGGAGCTTTCCAGGAGGGATGCTGTATAGAGCATTATGGAGTAGCATGGTTCCTAGCATACATGATCCAGCTACTAAGACATATTAGCTGATTCAGTTTCATTTTGGTTCAAATGAATGACTTTCAGAGATGTTAGCAAAATCATACTATGATTTCACAGTATCACAGTATCACAGTATGTTAGAGATTGGAAGGGACCTCAAAAGATCATCTAGTCCAATCCCCCTGCCGGAGCAGGAACACCTAGATAAGGTTACACAGGAACGTGTCCAGGCGGGTTTTGAATGTCTCCAAAGAAGGAGATTCCACAACCTCCCTGGGCAGCCTGTTCCAGTGTTCCGTCACCCTCACTGAGAAGAAGTTTCTTCTCAGGTTTAAGTGGAACCTCTTGTGCTCCAATTTGTACCCATTACCCCTTGTCCTTTCATTGTTTGCCACTGAGAAGAGCCTGGCTCCATCCTCGTGACACTCCCCCTTTATATATTTATATACACTAATAAGGCCACCCCTTAATCTCCTCTTCTCCAAACTATAGAGACCCAGCTCCCTCAGTCTTTCCTCATAAGGGAGATGCTCCACTCCCTTAATCATCTTAGTTGCCCTGCGCTGGACTCTCTCCAGCAGGTCCCTGTCCTTCCTAAACTGAGGGAATTTGTCACTTCCTTTATTTTATACTACACCAATTTCATTAAAAAGAAAACTAACTTGTGGGCCACAAATTTTATGCAATGACTTAATTATTGTAGAACAAATTGTAGTTTATCATTAAGAAGCTAGATATATATAAAAATATATACTGTCATTGGAGAACACTCAATCTATTTCTTTGATTGTGTTTAAGTGTACTTGTGGCATGAGAGTACGTCATACAAGGAATTACAAAAAATTCATTGACCGATAGTTCCCTTTTAGGACTAGCTGGATTTCTAATCACTCTCCAGAATGAATTTAAATGAGTTTCCACCACATTTGGGACTGGCACCTAGAGCAGGTAATGAATTTTCTATACATTGGACAATTACACCTACCAAAACTGCTGAAAAGCCGACTACTTACCCTGGACTGATGGAAGACTGAATGCAAAGAACCATTTTATGGGTGGGAATTACTGTCATTATCCTGTTTCACAATACTACAAAGCACTACTGCTTTTATTTCCAAATAATATAAAAAGGATTTATTAAGAAAAATAGCTTTTATTAAGAAACTTGTTGACAGCAGCTACTTGTAACCATCAGATTAAAGTGCTCTGTCATATTTTACAAGAAATCAATTTTGGATGCAGCAGTGTTGTTATAATTCTGTCACAAAACAAGGAATGCTGAACTCCTGGTTCCAGCTGTATACATTTCAGTCGGACTTTTGTTCCAGTTCTTTTTTTTTCCTTCTTAACAGTCAAAACAACTACCTCAGCCCTTTTCAAGAGATGTCAGGGTAGAAGACAACCACTCAGGCACTCTTAATTTTACTTTCCATTTTTCAATTTTGACAAGACGGAGAAAGGAAAAATAAAACCCCCAAAAGAAATGTAGGATTCAGGGCAGTCGTAAAATGCAAGGGAAGTGCTCCCTGTTTTGGTTGAGGACCTCCTTATATGCATCTTTCTATGCGAAACACAGAAAGCCAAGCTTCTCTCTTTCTTATGTTCACTTTAGGGGATTTTGTGCAACATGAGTTCCTGTCCATCCAATCCAAAAATGGATTTTTCCCTAAAATTTATCTTCTATAGCCATGCACTGCAACTGTTAGGGTCTTGTGGACAAAAATCTCCTTTTTGCCCGACATACAGTTCTGTCACTGGGCAAAATCATCACAGAACTTAGAGTGCATGAAAAATAATACAACATACCCAGAACTGTGACACAATCAAAATGACAGGCCTTAAGAATCACATTCACAATGATATTTGGAATGAACCTAAGCAAGACAAGGCAACAGTGGAAAAGATTTTGCTTAAATTGTGCTGCATAAGTCCCAGAGAGACTTTTAGCTGTATAAATCCAGAAAAATGTCTGTATCTTAGATGTTATTATAATATATATATACACACACACACATATATATACTCTTTTTAGAAAAGCAAGGAAGTAAGAAGCTAGACAGGGATCTAAGAAAGAAAAAAGCTAATGCTCCCAAGCGACAGGCTAATAGTAACATATCTCTACTGATCAAAAAGTGGAAGATTAGCAGTAAGAGGGACAATGGACAACGCAGCATAGATTTAATACTGGTAAAAACACTAGCCAGACATGTACATATAGGTCATATGAACAGGCAAATACTCTAATATTATTCCATTCAAAG